AACATCATTTTCAGTCACCCTGTATAATTTGAGGACCTTAAAAATCCTTCAGAATTATCACGCATCTTTTCATCGAATGATATCGAGATTATTTCGTCTCAAATTTCAGAATTGTGGTGATGCATCTGCAGATGACATTATTTCGACAAAACAAATCATAACTTTGACATGATATATAGAGATATAGTCATCAATATCATAAAAGTGGATGGAGGTCATAGGGATGCTTCAAAAAATGTGCAGGGCATTCCATTCAAAAAATATTATCCCGACCCTCTAGATTTTTTTCAGTACGCCCTGTATAGGCGGCAAAAGTTTCTAAATATGGATCTTTTTGTCTCATTCACATTCGTTTTTGAATCAAGTTCTATGATAGCTATATCATAGAACTCGAGCAATCGTGCTTCGACGCACTAATGCCCCACCTTGTATAATTCAAAACCAATATAACTTGTTATGTCTTCCATCTGAGTTAAAATAACTTATATTTGGTGAATAAATCGTTATTTCTTTCCGAAGAATAAAAATGGATAAGTGATACGGTTTGGAAATCATATTTTTTATTGATTTCGAAGTTTCCGTAGCTCGTTGTAGAGAGCTTGGTCGAGAGCTACCAAGAACCTCGTAGCAGTCGTAACCACGGAACCAAAAATACTGCCGAGTCTCGACGGAGTATAGACCCAAGCCACACCCGTGTAAACCCGAGCAACACTAGTGTAGGCAAGTAGACAGCATTGACAGCAATGAGGTTATGTCTCGCAGATCATGACGAAATGACAAATACCCAAACCTAAACAATTATTATTGCTCATGAGGCAAAGTTTGAATTCTAACGAAAATGAATGTATAAACAATGATAGTGGAGTATTAAATTATCATAATCCTGTATAATAATCATCCATACATTATAGACTAAACAGACCGAACAAAGATCACTGTTCGTTCGTTTTCACTTTCGCATTGCTTTCATAGGTGGTCGTGAATTCACTATTTTGTTAAAGTATTGTATAGTATCTATCTAAAATTATATTTTTTCATAAATATCGTTGGAAAAACATTGTGCCTAACACTTGCGGAATAGTACTATATATATAACTATTTCAATCGATTCGATTGAGTATAGATAATCAGATTTGAAAAATATCGGGGAGTTGTCATTATAATCCTGGATGTTGATGGGTGGGACTTCGAACCATATAACTCCTCCTCATTAGGTACCTACGCCAAATAATACACTTATAATTACGTATATATCAATGGTTTATAGTTTTTCTATCATTTGAAAGAAAAATTCTAGTGAACCGATATACAATATCATTCTTTTTATCGATTGAAGAAGACTTTTACCAATTAGCCTCAAATTAATGACGCAAATATAAGTATACATACTAACTTCATTTACCATGTATCATCAACTAAACATCATCACGATTATGGCGAAATGGAATTGAATATTCTGTCAATCCATTCAATTTTCATCAAATGAGAATTTGATGAACTATAACTCTATATATCGTAAGAACCAATATCTCGACCAATATGCTAATAATGTGTACCTGTGCACATACCTATCCATGTGTTGTTACTTGAAAACATTGATACTTATACCAGGCAATGGAACATCGTATTATTCGTTCGAGGTTAATTTATTCATAAAAACATGAATTCTTGTCTCTCTAAGGAAGTCCGACAATATTGGAATAGTGAAGCCACCAATTTTGTATTCCTCTACTACTGAAAATTGGTTATTGATAACGTTGACCACAAATTCATTTATAGTAATGTGAATTTATAATAATTGATAGCTTTAGTGGCAAACTCGAGAGCGTATAGGTACTTTGTATTTTGTTCAAGTAATTATGGAAGAAAATTCTTGAGTCCCAATAGTCCCTTGAAATTTTGGTGGAGGCACTTATTTTGTGTTCCTCTATCAGTTAATTCAAAATTTGTCATTTCTGACTCACTCAAGTAGGTATAGTAGGAATTTTGAAGTAGAAGGTAATTGGTGTGAGATCGTTATAATTGTCAAAAAAATAACAAGTCATAAAAGTACCTATTCAATAACGTATTTTCAAATTTTGGCGAATGCACTTATTTTTTGTTTTTTTTTCTGGACGATAATCATTGATACCAAATTTATTACGGAAATTATGATTTTTGACTCACTGAGATCAGTGGCACACTCGAGAATATACTTTATGAATGGCAAGAAAAAAATTTGGTGGAACACAAGTCGTTTCTATTCTGGAAATAAGTCATTGAATTCCCCATAGCTAGAGTGTTTAAATAGTACTTTGTGAGAGGTAATTGATGTCATTGTCGAGGAAAATAACGATCTGAAGTATCTAATACAGTTTTTCAAATTTTGGTGGAAGTATCCACCTATTAAATTTTCATATCACTCATCAGTTGAATCGATTCTTCCGGAAAGCGCTTCATATCATCAATAAATATTGGACAAGAATACTTTTCGACAGGTTGGGCTATTTCCATTCAACCAAATTTCATTCGAATTGGAATAATCAATAAATGAAGGAACCCAAAGTCATCTCAACAACATTTATTTGACGATCAGAGATCAATCACATGTTTCGGGCTTGTATAAGCCCATCATCAGCCGAATACAAGATTCTAGTTATGGAAATGAAAAATTTGAAAATTTTTATAATTTAGACAATAAAATGGGGCAAGACACAGACGCATGCACCATGACTAGGTATAATAAAATTTGTGTTTTTTTTATAAAAACATTTAAAAAAATTTCTAGAAATGGGTCGGATTATTAATGTTATAAGGGCCAACGTGTCCTAAAATTGCCAGAGGTGACAATCACACATTGAAATATCAAACAAAGTATGATGGGTATCGAAGTTTTTTTTGTTTCACATGGTGCATACGTCTGTGTCTTGCCCCATTTTATTGTCTAAATTATCAAATTTTTCAACTTCTTCATTTCCATGACTGAAATCTTGTATTCGGCTGATGATGGGCTCATATAAGCCCAAAACATGTACCCCTATGTGATTGATCTCTGATCGTCAAATAAATGTTATGACTCTGAAATGACTTCGGATGACTTTGGATTTTTTCATCTATGAACTACCACTCCACTCTGAGTTACTATGGACTCCTTCCAAAGATCAATTATCATAATTTTGAGGAACCCTGTTCAGTTTTTTTTTTTACATGAATAACAAATAGTTATTTATTTTACTAGGCAGGAAAGAAGTAGATTGACCGCGACTGATCATTCAGAAATTCAGCCAAGGCATTCAATCTACATTTGCTGCTATGGGAAACATATAATGTTTTCTCCAAATGTCATAAAACCAATTTCGTGTAATTTTTTTATTGAAAATTTCACACCAAACATTTCCGATCAATTTAAAGCCTGTATCTCGTATCGCATGAAATTACACTGAAAAGTTTTTGACGTTCTGAGGTTAGATGACATTTACATTCAACTTCAGATCATTTCGAGTTAATTCTATAAGTCAATAAATAAACAGTTCACCATATAATATTATGTAGGTATACTTGCAAATTCTAAATTCACAAAAACATATGTTGTTACTATACGTTAGGTCTTACTTTTCATCAAGTGTTGTTGAAATTCCTTTAAATTGATCGAAAATGTTTGGTGTGAAATTTTCTTACCGAATACCACTTTAGCTCCAATTAATATCCGGGAATTTTTTCTCGAACACGAATATTTAGAAAATTCTCAAAATTTTCAAAATATTCGTGTTCTCGAAAAAATTTCCGGAAATGATTGAAGGTCTCGTGATATCATAAGTGAAGACTCTATCATTTTGTGTTCACTCAATGTCAGTGTCAATTTTCATATATAATACCACAAGTGATAATATTTTGCCGGAAATATTCGGTGATTGTTACGACAGCTTGTTGCCTAGTAATTTCGAGAATGACATTGTTATCAAAACTACGAGCCGTAGGCGAGTAGTTTTGGATCAATGTCATGAGCGAAATTAGAGCAGCAAGCTGGAGTATGTCAATCGACGAATATTTCCAGGAAAAATAGTATCACGAGTTGTATTCGTATGACTATTTCATGATTGAATGAGGACAATATATATGAGAAATAGAAAAAATAATTTAAGTATATTACAACTCAATCTGCGAAGAAGAACATAATGATAGTAATGAAATACAGAATTTACTTTTTTAGAAATTAACTACCTACTTATAGTTATTCACAAAGTGGAATGTACAATTTTGATAAACAGTATTTTTTTTATTATCTTGGAGATGGTTGCTCTCAAAAGAGTGTATAAAATTACTATCCAATTCAAACAAAATAAAATGAATTTATGTGACATGGAATAATTTAAAAAAATATATCGTCGCCGTGGGCTCGAACCATCGACCTTCGTATCCCCGCGCAACAACCCTAACAGTTGCGCCACATCAGCTAGTAATTTTGTTACTCAGTCACAATTACTTGAGTATTTGAAGAAGATTACTTCAAAAAGGAATTTGAATTCTATTATTGTTGTGTCAGACCGTCAACAAATATGCAAACTTTTTAAATTACACATGAAACGTCCAGCCAGAATAAAATTGTCTCGCTTTCGTACAAAATATCTCACTAACGCGAATTATAAGTAAATAAAATGAAATAGGTTATTGTCTCTTGTGTCAGATTTGAATCCAAAGCAATCTTGACCAGTCACAGTATCAAAATTTTATCGCTGATAAACGAGGTTAGTTGGTCACGTGTGGGTCAATTCGGCTTCTGTATTGGTAGAGCAAGTCCGATAAAATTTAATAAACAAAAAATATCGCTAGAATACAGAAGAAACCATGAAAATGGTCGATTCTGATTGGTTCTCGAGATCAAGAGTGGAATAGTCATTACAAATTTCTTCAATTACTTGAAACGTTGTATAGCCTAGGCAGATAAAGTACACCTTTTTGGCCTGTTGAGTGTCAGAGAAAAACCACTGTCTATAGATGCAGCTTGGAGAGAAAAAAATTACCTCTTATTTGTTGAATATGCTCGTCAAACTGCGACTTGCTTCTAAAATAGTCCAATTTATTCGAACCACTTTGAAAACTGTGAGTCCTATACTCGCTGTACCACTCGGAACTCGAACTCACTTTCGAGCTATTGCTCTCTCCATCCCACTCGTCCCTTCCCACCCTCTCCCTCGAAGGGCTCTTCAGGCTCTCTTCCGAGGGAAACTTCCCTGAGTTTGCCGTCAAAGATTCAGCACTGGACGTCTTGGAGGCCGAAGCCTGGTGGCCGTTCGAATGACCCGAATGGGTGAGGTAGGCGGAATCATCTATCAGTTCTTCAGAGGGTGTTCTGCTAGTCGACGCTAGATGGCGTAGCGAAGAAGTTGACGAGCTGGTGGTGATGTGTCGGATGGTTTTCCGAACGGTGACTTTCTCGAATTTGACGGATTTGGCACCTGTGGCCAAATCGCCTTCTTCTGTCGTAGAGGTGTAGGTTTCCTAGAATTGGGATGGGGCTGGTTGATAGCGCGAGGTTGTTTGCTTTTTGGTTGTTTGGCCGATTTAGGAGGAGGAAGTGGTGCAGACATTCGATGTTATCACGCTTTTATTAGCTTGTTATGTATGTTTGTATGTAATGGAATATTCAAATGTGATATTGACCCAATTAAAAACGTCGAACTGAACTGAAGCATCGCACAGTTATAAAGTACCGATGATAATAGCATAATTCAATCGTTTTGTTCAATCATCCTGATCAAGATTCTCAGGATCAGTAAATTCCACATCGAGAAACATGTAGAGATGCATCAAGTATACTCGTATGGTATGAAAATAGTAACATCCAGAGAGACGGTAGTGTCTTGCACCAAGTACTCGTTACTGAAAAGGGAGCCTGATGAACGGTTACAACATTCAAGGACGGCAACAGGCGCGCAATTTACTCACTTCCACTGCGGTGCGGAAGTTACAAAAAATTGAAAAGTAAACATAAAAACATGCTTTTGTAGTATATAGTAATGATAAACAGATAGAAAACACGCTTTTATAGATAGCCAAACTGAAAGAAAAGTTGAAAATAAAATAATGAACGTGTATTGATAAATACATACCTATCATAGAAAGCACCTTCGCGTAATCAGTATTTTCTGTTGTATATTTATCAACATACTTCTATTATTAAATAAATACTCAACATAGGAAATACTAATAACGGAGGTGCTAGAAGACACAGTTGTCATTATATTCCCAACTTATTTTTTATATTGGCTATACAGGGTGTTTCATAATTGAATGCTGATCCTAAAGGGCGATAATCCTTGGATGATTTTAAGAAAATTCTTTATGTGAACATAGGTCCGTAACAGCTTCGTTTCTGAGATACAGGATGTTGAAATTTAACAAAAAAATCAGTTATTCCCCAATATCTCTGAAACCGCTCTGGCTTTTTTCTTCATTACAAATACTTAGAAATAGTTACCATACAATTATAAAAATATTGCTTAGATCTTTTGGTTACCACAATTGTGAAATTATGAATGTAAGAGTGAAAATCGAATAGGGACGAAAAAAAGACAAGAGACCATTTTTATGAGAACATAGAGGATAATTATAAAAATAATATTTATTTAGGACAAAGACAGTGGCGTATCATTATTTTGAAGAAAAATATGACAGGGTATGTTAACAGGGACGCCACTGATGGAAATTGAGAAATCCTTCATTATGAAAAAAATGTATTTCTATTCATACTTGGCCTGTACCAGAATTGAAGAGAAAATCCAGAGCGGTTTCAGAGATATTGGGGAATAACTGATTTTTTTGTTAAATTTCAACATCCTGTATCTCAGAAACGAAGCTGTTACGGACCTATGTTCACATGGAGAATTTTTCTTAAAATCATCTAAGGATTATCGCCCTTTAGGATCAGCATTCAATTATGAAACACCCTATATATATCTAGATCTAGATAATAGCGTGTTTTTTTCAGTTTATCAAAGTACAATAATTTATTATTGGTCGTTTAACCATCAAATCTTCATACTATCATAATGAGATGATCCTTATATTTATACAGATCTGCATTTTTTTTATCGCTATAATATCATCCTCATGAATGATGATGGAAGATGGACGATCTGCAGAGTGTCTCTCCTTAAATGGCTTCATTGGCTCAATTATTATCACACTCATAATGAGGTCAAAGTTGAAACACCTAGAACACCCTGTTTTAAGAATTCCGTACGTTTGGAATTCTTGTAAACTGATGACTTCCTAGAGAAATACAATTTGGAAGGATCCACCAATATTTGTCCCTCATCTGTGTTTGTAATTCAGTCAACATAGTTCTTTTAACCTTCTGAGAGTTCATCTGCATACAGCAAAAAACAATTTTGCGTAAGAGAAATTAGGATAATGATAAGTATCAAAACTCGTAAGAGAAATTAGGATAATGATAAGTATCAAAACTTCTTTCAAGAAAATATGGTGAATAATCCGAATGAACTATTTTCACCTCGGATTCATTCCAAGATAAATATTACCCAGAATGGCCCATTTGCTCTTGAAGAAAGTAAATTCTTGTACAAGTCACCCGCAAGTCAGTAATCAACAACGTGCTGATATACAGAGAGGTCTTTGATGACATGCTCATATTTAAGAGGGCGATTCTTGGATCCATTTCAAGAAGAATCTCCATATGAACACAATAGACCGACACCGCCGTGTTGGCAATATGGAAATTCACACTTATTTTAAATATTACAAACAAATGTTTCATAGAAATTATTTTTTTAGGTTCTGAACATGTTAAACTTTATCATGCAGTGTTTGCTGTAACTCGTTTTTCACAATTATCACAAAATAAATCATTTAAGGGCATATCGTATTCACCTACCTTATTAGCATTGACGGTCTGAATATCGAAAACGAATAAATTACAGACATTGATTTATAGGAACTTCAAAACATAAAATAAGCCAAGAAATCACCTTCTTCAATAAAATGAATGTAGATGAGACGTATCAGCGACACTTTATTTCGTAATAGGTTGAAGAAACATAAACAATAATTGGTTGAACAAACGTTGAGAACGAGCCAGGTGTGTTGGGTACCAATTTGAGTTAATTAGATTCAACAGCTACATTGATGGTTCGTTTCATTCGAATAATTGTTTTGGTCTGTAAACTATACCATTGTGAGAGGTGAAGTGAAGAAATTAGCAAACTGTACAGTAACTACTTAGACAACATAAAAGCAAGACCTTGGCCTTGACTATACCATCCTGATAGAACTACCTCGAAAAATACTTATGATAGACTGGTACTTTTGAACCTGCTTGCAATTTAGGGAATGGGTGGAAAGTGGAAACTTGATATTCTTTCGATAACTCTATATTCCTTCTTCAGATATTTTTAAGAAAAAGGTGTCATTGACTATCGATTGAAATTTTTGTTTGGGCTCTCTAATAGTAAAATTCCTTAACGCAGTGACATTTTGATATCTTCTGATTTCTCATTATTACATGGATATTGAAATGATATTCATATTTTCATCTATAAAAACAAGGAGAATCTGGAGAAATCCATGTTTGACCTTCTCCATCGTTCTCCATTATTCAGCAGACAGTATTTTATGTAGCATTTCTTCAATATTTAATCTGTTCCGCAATGTTTACCTGTCATATATCATTGCAACACATGATTAAATATTCAGTTAAGTACTTTATTATCTTAGACAAATAAATAGTATTCATTCAAGGGAAATGTTCAGGCGTGATTTGCTATTTTATTCAACAACACTTCATATTGAAGCTAAATGGTGCTTTGGAACTAGCTGTGAGGTATTCTACACATAGCACACAAAAAATTCAAATCTGTGACAGAATTATATTGAGTAATAAAACAATTGAAATTGCATAGAAATGTTGAATGTTGATTTCTTGTAAAACTCTCGGTTATGGATTCCCAAGTGATTATGAAAATATGTTTTAACTGAACTTATGGAATTTCTGTTTGAAAGTTCAATTACCTCGTGAGTTAAACGCTTTTTTCCACCATTAGCTGTAGACTAGACTTCTTTGCGAGGCGTAAAGTGTCTTTTGACTACCAAGGTAGTTTTCGTCATTTTATGAACCAGTAGTCAATAATGACATAGCCACCTGTGTTATAATTAACCCGAATTCACTGCTCTAATGCGATATTCGCAGAAATTGGACTCGAATCTAGTACGTATTTTAATCGATGACGACTTGACATATGCTGTCATAGTCATGGCCATTATTTTAATTAGAATCGAAGGGAAGTGCATTCATATTTCAGTTTCACAGAACGATAATAATTGAAATATATTGCATGTGGTGAAAAAAATGTAATATACACCTTGGTAGTAAAGAATATCATTATCACACGACCTTAGCTCAAGCTTCGGGATATAATCTTGGTCCCTGGGTAATAATGATATTATTCACTACGTTGGTGTATAAATATCTGTGTAACCATCATGCACTTCAGGGATTCAAGGGGTACTTTTATTCCCTATTCTCTGGGAATAAAGTGGTACTCCAAATCCCTAGGGATTTAAAGATACTTTAATTTGAATTTAAAGTACCATTTTTTTTCCCGAAAACTGGATCACCATAGTTACTAAGGTAGTTGATATGGTAACAATCAGCCCCTCCGACCTCCGATGACGTTTTAGAAATGGAGTACCTACCGTTTAGTGGCATTTAATTTTTTTCGTTATTTCAAACGATTCAAAAACACTTCAATCTCGAGGTGTATATACATATTTATGTACATCCTTAAGTACATAAATAAGTATGTACACCTCGAGGCTAAAGTGTTTTTGAATCCCTCGACGAATTATAGCCCTCCCGTTGGTCGGGATTGTCTAGGGATTCAAAATACCACTTTGTTCTAGGTGTAAAATGTACTATTATTTGTAAATGTGCATTGATGCTCAATTTTTCGCATATATAGCACCTCCAACTCATAAAATTTTGTGCACTAAAAAAATATACTTGACTATTTGTTGAATGCATATAAAAAATTATCCAAGATCTTGTCAGATCATCCAATTGTGCAATTATTGTTCGCATTATTGAAGGAACACAATTTTTTTCACTTTCAGAAAATTTATTCATCATTCAAAATGGTGGTATAGTTTTTTGAAAAAAACGTATAGGTAATATACCTAAAGAGTTTGAAATATCCTGAATTTGTCTTTGCAGCTTTCAACGATCCCCAACTTTTCTTGGATGCCTGTATATATCTACGGTTATAACTACGTTCAAGTACTGACTTTTTAATGGTTCAAACCATGTAGGCGTAAGATGATGTGCACCGACTGGTTTCTTGCAGACATACAGTTGTGAATTGAGTACTTACACAGTGAAAAATTTGCTGGTGTAATTTCAATCGAGTGGATTTCAGAAATATCTCCGATTGAATCAAACTTGATTAGCTATCAATATTATTAAAAATTTTATAATACTGTGTACA